ATTTGGATAAACAAATTAAAATATTAATTCATATTTTGTTAAATGGGTTTGGATTTGGAGTAAAATTTTCTTCACTAACAGGCCTTTTTATTAGGTCAACCAAGTTCATATTTTGGTCGGACAAACGAAGCCCTCCTTTATTTAGCTCATGGGTCGAGCCCGCGGCTTAAAATGGAGATGGCGGTGGAACCCTTTTAACTTGCTCTTTATACATTTTGCTCAAAATGTTTTTGGTTATCACCAGCTGACTTTGATATAACCACAGCTATATATACGTTCGTGGCATAAAGTAGATCTTGTGCTTAAAAAAAGAAATCTCTTTTTTAAAAGAGAATATTGAAGAAAATCCAAGTCCATAAAAAATTAATGGCAGAACATGTACCAAGAGGCAAGAGCTCTTGAGTCGAGAGCTTTATCGGTAGTCCTTTTTCCTAGTTTGATAGTTACGTCATAGTCTGGTGATAATGGTCCCACAAATTGGACGAATCATAGGCATCAATTCAAATCCTAAAGTCGAGTGAAAGTTCAATGAATATGAGATATATGACCTTTTATTAGTTGGGCGAAGAGTTTTCTAATCTTTAACTGAAGATAAGACTTCATTAGTGATATCCCGGAAGCAGTAGTTAAGGACTTTCCTTTTAAAGACCGTCAAAACTTAGTTTATGAACAAGATTCTCATTGAAGATCCATTGAGGTTTCAATTAAGTTGTATGGTATTTGAGTCGTGTTATTTTTATTTTCTATCGTGGTCATTTTGGTTTCATGTGAATGAAAACAATTTAACAATAAATCAATTCATATATTATTAAATCAAGGAACGAAGAAAACTAAAAAATCGTAAGTTGTTTTCTTACACTACTAATTAGATGGCTTATTTATGTTTACTATCAAACCAACTCATTTTTTATTCATACTAATTGATTATATCTTCTCATAATTCATATCGTATTTGGTTCGTATTTTTCTTTCTTTTTTTTTTTTTACTTTACCAACACTAAAACAATGTATCCTTGCAAAGACCTTGGTGTTTTAATGGTTTGCGTAAAGTTTGGCCCATCCCTGTCTGATAAATTATTAGAAGTCATGGCATTCCATGCATCAAACATATGGCCCTGTCCATTGAGTACCTTTTGCCCTCTTTTCTCAGGCTACCGGCCAGCATGGAATGGAAGATACATTTTTAAATAGATAAAATTATGCGCATTAAAAGTGTACATTAAATCATTTGTAACCAGTTGTATCAGTAGATTACTCGCTGATCCGACAATTGTAAATGATCCACTAATCCAACAGTTGTAGATGATTTAGTGCATACTTTTGTTGTGCATGGCATTTCTCTTTCCCAACAAGACTACTTGGTTAGTCTTGAAAGATGAACTTTCCATAACAGGAGATTGATAATGACAATAGCGCCTCCACACAGGTAGTTAAAGAATGAAAGAGGTAATTAGGGTAAACAAAAGAATTGTTCTTTCGTCTATCTTATGGTAAATTTTAATTCTTAGTTTTCCCATTCAGAAATTTGCTAATTATTGTTCTAATTGTTGTGCATAAAAAAAAGAGTCTAAAAATGAAGGCTGATTGACAAAAAAGAAATAATTTTTAAGATATGATTTATCTGGATCTAAAGTATCAATTTCAATAAACACGTATTGGACTTAAAAAAAATTCTTTATTTGAAATGGATTGATATATGAAAAAATCTATTATTTTAATTTGTTGCGAGTTTTGTTACTTTCATAACCATGGGTTCTAATGCACGAGATGGTAAAAGGCATAAATGGGGAAAATAAAACTTGACAATTCTCGGTATGAGCCTTGAACTCGGTATAAAATTAACACAAAAAAATTATTACGTACAAGTAAAAATTCATAGTTTCGGGTCATAATTAATTTGTTTAGTTGTGTTAATCTGACATAAAATTTATATAAAATAGTTTTAACAAATTAAGGTCATAATTGGTTCGACTTTCCATGTCACTTAATAAATGAGTCATACATGAATTTGGTTATACACAAACCTTTACATGTAACACACACTAACCTTGATACCCAGTCTATACACAATGTGAATTTAAGTATGTAGAAAGATAAATAAAAATAAGATATTATTTTTAAAAAAATTATTATCCAACATACCCACACCAGACACTGACACATTACTACACCTAGTCTAAGACAGACAACAACTGCAATTATCTTGCTGTTGAAAGCTGCCGTATGAATTCCCCCATATCCAGCTAGCTATCTTCACCAAGTCTCTGAATTAATGAGAAGGACTGACCCATTCTTAGGCAGTTGAATCTCGAAACTAGGACACATATAATGCCTCAACCAAACATAGGCTAATGACTTCACACCCCATGACCAAAACCATAAACCCAAACAACCCCCACAAAGAGGTGATGGACAAGACAGTACTACTCTTTCGTCACCTTCCAATTATTACGACAACTGCTTCCCTTTAAAGGAAAGTGATTTTTAAAAATTCACTACGAAGCTTTGATTATCTTTCTCACCATTATGTTATCATTGACTAATCTAATTGGATAATGTNACAACCCCCACAAAGAGGTGATGGACAAGACAGTACTACTCTTTCGTCACCTTCCAATTATTACGACAACTGCTTCCCTTTAAAGGAAAGTGATTTTTAATAATTCACTACCAAGCTTTGATTATCTTTCTCACCATTATGTTATCATTGACTAATCTAATTGGATAATGTTTTTTTATTTCTTAATCACACCTACTAAACATTCTCTTTGTACTTGATAATGACAAATTAAACCCGGGTTGGACACGTGGGTATGAGCTCTGCAATTTTATAAGGTGAGCTCTAAAAAGATTTTGACTCCTTACTCTTTTTNACGAAGCTTTGATTATCTTTCTCACCATTATGTTATCATTGACTAATCTAATTGGATAATGTTTTTTTATTTCTTAATCACACCTACTAAACATTCTCTTTGTACTTGATAATGACAAATTAAACCCGGGTTGGACACGTGGGTATGAGCTCTGCAATTTTATAAGGCGAGCTCTAGAAAGATTTTGACTCCTTACTTTTTGGTGCTTCAATTCGATACTTTCTTAGCTTAGATCATTTTAACTAATTTAAACTAGTTGTGATATCCACGTTGAAAAATACTTAACTTATGTTCCATTCCTAGTGTTGCTTCATTCAAATAAGCCGTTGAAGATCTACAATGGTATAATCTATTTACCGATAAAATGGTCAAGCTATGTATTATTCAAGTAGGTAATTCTTTTCCAGCTAAATACAACTTCTTCTCATCATTCCCTTCTCNCTTAGATCATTTTAACTAATTTAAACTAGTTGTGATATCCACGTTGAAAAATACTTAACTTGTGTTCCATTCCTAGTGTTGCTTCATTCAAATAAGCCGTTAAAGATCTACAATGGTATAATCTATTTACCGATAAAATGGTCAAGCTATGTACTATTCAAGTAGGTAATTCTTTTCCCGCTAAATACAACTTCTTCTCATCATTCCCTTCTCACTTTATCATCAGAGGTCATCCATGGAAGCCCTCTAGGCTTCAACTTCTTTTGCAAGAAGACTCGCACTGGTTGCTAAGTCATAACTTGGACAATCTATCTTGGTAAACAGATTCGGGGATCAATAATAATAATCTAACATTTGACGGCTAAATCACACATATTGCCAAAAAACCAAGGTAACTTTAATGCTTGCATAACAATCAAAATAAGAGTGATACGTGGATAACACAAATTTAAGAAGATAAACTTATTTATCTTTAACGACCTGGTTTAACTTTTGACATATAAAAATAACCAAGTACTTTCTATTTCTGTCTAGTACCACATAAATACTTGCAAAAATTTGAGCATTGTTTACATTTTGTTCCCATCTAGATAGCATAAATTCTCATCATTAGGAACCAGAATGAGATTCTAGTTGTGAATTTTTTGCAAGAGTTATGCTTGTCAATCCTATCGCCGCGCAAGCAAAATTGTAAAACGTATATGTCAAAGTAATGTCAAGATCACAATTACCTAAACACATCAAATTATAGTTAACTACTAAATACTTATCTAACCCAATCAAAATATAACATAACTCAATTTTTATTTTCTTTTTATTTAACGGTCAAAAGTATTCGAGTCAGTTTACGTATCATCGCCGCTACNTTACCTAAACACATCAAATTATAGTTAACTACTAAATACTTATCTAACCCAATCAAAATATAACATAACTCAATTTTTATTTTTTTTTTATTTAACGGTCAAGAATATTCGAGTCAGTTTACGTATCATCGCCGCTATGACACAACTCAATTCCAAAAAACATTCTCAAAATTGCAACTCGTAGAAAGCACATATATAAAGTAAAAACGTTACATTAAGAAATATATATAATAATACAAAAAGGGTGAAGTTGAGGAGAGCAGACTAGTTGTCAATTTGCAACCACTGAATTTCCAGCCCATAACAAAAATCTGCATACATTCTGATTATCCGACCACTTGGAACAAAAGCCAGAAAAAGCAAAGACTGATATAATAATAAAAGAAAAGTCCATTAAATAAATATCTAATAATAATGGAACCCCTCAAATCAATATCCATCTATCCACTCTAAAACAAGATAAAGAACAAAGCATTAAAATATCATACGTAACCGCCCTAAGGTTATGAGCACCGCTTTCTGCTTCTCCTTCTCAGACAAGAATCAATTAAACACCCCTCTCTCTCTCTCTCTCACACACACACACACACACTTGCACTCTCTCCCTCTCTCTCCCTCTGGGGAACCGATGCAGGAATCAGTACTCTTATCAGATTTGCAGAAAGGAAAAGAAGAGAGAGTTCACTTTAGCAGGAAGATAACTATGCAAAACCATAAGAAAATTCATAATCCCCACTCAGCTTATAACATAAATTGCAAAATAGAGAAAAGGGAAAGCAAAATTTAAGAGATAAATGGAAGAAATTTGATAATTTAACATGTAAGTTCAAGCAAAGAAAGAGAAGCAAGAAATCAAATTGCCCATTGAACAACGTTTCCATTGTTATCCTCAACAAAGTGATCACTGACAATCTAATAAATAAACAAGTTTAATGAGAAACTAATAGAAGGAACTAATTAACAGTACCAGCCTCACTGTCTCTCTCTCTCTCTCTGTCTAATACTTATTTAACCATCATAATATCAAAGATCAAGAAGAAGAAGAAGACCCATTAGTAGGAACAACATGAGCACTAACACTGTCACTGCTGTGGAGGTGGGGATTTAGGTTTTGATGGTGGTTGTCGTCCTTGTCATCATTTTGGTGGTGGTAGTGGGTTGCATTGGTGGTGGTGGTTTCAAGAGTACTGTTCGTACTAACAAAACCAATACCAATATCATTACCATTACCATTGTTGTCGTTGATGTTGGTAGCATTCTCTCTCTTGCCAAAAGTGTTCTTATTGTTATGCATCCAAACCTTGAACACGCCTTTGTCCACACCAACTCCGCTGCAGAATTCATTGATCAAGTCCTCGTCCCTCTTCTGCATCTTCCACCCGAGTCTATCCGCGAATTCCAACATTTTTTCCTTCTGATCTGGAGTGAATTTGGTTCTGAATCGTTTCCGAGCACTAGGGCTTGCAATTACACCACCTGTAGTGGCGGCCGTGCTTGCAATTGTTTGATTGTTGTCCAGTGGTGGACCCGATAAGCCGGCGCTGAGTGCAAGGAGCATATGGGGAGCTGAAGGGTAGTAGGAAGAGGAGATCGGTGGTGGGGATGGTGAGTTTGGGCTGCTGCCACGTGGAGGAGGTTGTGGTGGCGGAGGATGGTGGCGGTGGTGCGGTTGGTACTCGATGGTGGGGATATTGGGTGGTGTGAGAGCCTCTTCTGGGTCACGGCGATGGAAGTTGCGGTGGCAGCCACAGGCGGCGCATTTTAGCGAGGTGGGGTCTGTGGGGGTGGCGGTTGGAGAGGGCATGAATTCTCCACAGCCGTCCACCGCGTGACCACCCAAGCTGGCTGCGTGGTTCTTGAGACATTCTCTATAAGTGACCACCAACGGTGGGTTGTGGCGGAAGCGTTGGTGGCGCTTGAGGACGCCGTTGGAGAAGTATAAGGGCTTACTGGTTTGGATCCGAGTTGGGGTTTCACTTTCAACTTCTGGGGTTTTGATAGCGGCGGTGGTTGTGTTGGTGGCTATGGCAGTGGCTGTTAAGTCCATGGCTGAAACATCTAGGGTTAAGAACATAGACTTTTAAGAGTATATGATTAGATTAGAGGTTAGGGTTTTGAGCAAAACAGATATATCTTTGTCCATACAAAGAGAAAAAAAAAATGAAGCTTATAGAGAGTGGAGAGAGAAAGGAAGGTTGTTTGTGGGGGATGATGATGATGAAGCTGCAGTGATGAGTGAAGATAATAAAAATCTGAGGGGGGTTTTGTGGTTGTCCTTCTTAACCCACTTGGTTTTTTTAACCTGAGTTCTAATCTCTGGTTACCTTTCTGACCCCACTTGGGTTTAGCCTTTAGGTGTTGGGTCATGTGTGTATTAAATACACATATTATTTACACTTCACATTAATCTCGGTTCAGACTCGGCCGAGTCAACATCCGAGTTGATCTCCTGGTGGGCTTTTGTCAGAGCTTTTTAAGATGAATTTTGACTCAGAAGCACCTGGAAGTTCAACCTAATTGACATATAATTGATGACCCAAGTTGCTTTTTTTTTGAGACAAAGTCCAAATTAAAAGTCCAATGATGCGGCTAGTCCATTAATTTGAGCCTAATTTGGCCAACAAAGACTCATTCTAATCTCAAAACTCATTTGGTACTATGTAAGGTGGTTAAAGTAGCCAAATCACTAAACAGGAAAGGACTGTTACCAACATGATTGAGGTTGTATTAACATTCCAAAATTCATCATGCATCCCTGTTTGTGTTTTTTTTTGGCTCTTTTCCATCCTCTAATTAACCACTTTCAAATCCATACATTATCTAATGATAAAAATAAAGAACAATGAATAAATTTGTTACATTCGAAGAATGTCACCTCTCTTTCTTAGTCCATCTAATTTAATGCTTGCGATTCAAGTAAACTTGTCCTTAATGTTGCCTTAAGGCTTAAGTTGTGTCTCTGAGATTTAACTAAAACACTTAATTTATCGGTGGTGATTATAAGTAACTGATGTTTATTCTAAGCGGAGGAATGAGTTCAAAGTGAGATTTTTCTCTCACGACTAGGTTAGTACCGAGTTAACCTGGTGGTTGCTTGCTTCATTGTGACTTTACCCCTTTGATTGTCAACTGTAGCAGGACCTGCAGGTCTGAGCCATTTACTGCACCCACCTTCATTTGTCAAAGTTGCCAGCAAGGAGGCCCTGTACCGCTTTATTACTCAACCTTACCATCATTTCTAGGCACCACCCCTTTACACAGACTAATTAACACCCAACCCCCCGAAACAAAATTCCTGCAACAGGGATTAGTCAGGGGTTTAACGGCTTTATTTCTCTTCTTTCCCTTTTATTAATAAAAAATAGACAGACTTAGTTAATTTTTTTTATCTAATGTGTGACAATTAGCGTATGTGATGTTTGTTGGCAGTTGTTTGAATATAGGGTGTAATAGATATATTTTTTTAATTATTATTCATTTTCAACATATTATGGTTGACGCGATATTAATATTAGTTTAAGTAAATTTATTTTTGAAAAGAGTAATGGGTACATTTAGAGATCTCGTGATCTCATCAATAAAGGTCTATCGGAGCGATCTCTGAACGCTTGTACAATATTTCATAAGAAACTATGTAAAAATATTTTTTTCGTTTGCTAAATTTATCCGTTAATCATATTATTTATGTTTAACTTTATTTTGACTTATTTATCAAGGGTGGGATTATTTTCACCCCAAAAATATCTATTTCTATGCTCATTTAATTTTTTATTATCAAAATTTTTAAGTCTATCCCTTTTATACCCACTTCATTAATAATTAAGTTCATCCCATACTATAAAACACCTCTTTGATAAGTAATAAAAGTAAACAAGAAAGAAACAAATCTATCATCAGAAAAATAAAAAATAAAACAAAATTTCTAAATCACAAGACTAATTCACCAACGATACAAGCTTATCAAAGGAAACAAATTTTTTTATTGAAATAGTCTTTGTTGCCACTTTTAAAAATACTCTGCATGTTTATACACACAAATAAACTCTGAATAAAAAATTATTAAATTTGACAGAGATACTAAAACACAACAAAAATAATGAAAATCTACAAAAGAAGCATAAAATCAAACATAAAATTAAATCGAGAAATTATACTAATTTATATCTCATTAAACCATCTCCAATGAATACCTGAACCTTTACCCAAATTTGAGTGAAAAAAAAAAGATTAAAAAACTTAATTTGGTATAGACTTATTTAATTGAGAAACCCAAATTTAAATGAGAACGATTTCAAATTTAAAAAAGGATAAATATGATCATTGGATCTTTAAAGAAGAGTACAATCTTACCATTGGTAAAAAAAATAGTAAGGATTTTAGTCTCATTTGATTTGAGTTTTAAAAAAAGGTTTTCTTTTATTTGGTATAGATATGATTTTAACATTGGAGAAAATTTTTAAGAGGTTTAACCCTTTTTTTTTAAAAAGGTACAAAAAAAAGGTGAGGGCAGAAAATGCTCTTAGAGACATACATATTAAAAAAAAAATGGTCTTGTAAGTGTATGAGATGAGATAATAAATGAAAGTCTAATTATAATAAGATATAAGATCGATATATAGAAGAGTCGGGTTAGTAATTTGATAATGAAAATTTAAATAAATTGAGAATAAATATTTGTGAGCTGTGAATAATCTCATCATTTTATCAATCGTATTAGTTAATAATATTAAATTTTGTATTAAAATCAGATTTGTGACAAGTGTCAACAGGTAAAATTAGGCCAAGATGACAATAAATCATGGATTGACCCTTTAATAATTATGGGGACTTGACAATGGAATCAAAAAAAAAAAAAATATATATATATATATATATATAT